CAAGAATTCTCCTTTTAACACCATCTCATTATTTATGTATTTCTATTTTTACCACTTAGAAGTTTTTTGGGTGTTTTTCGTTTGTTTTGGTTTTTTTTTCGAGACAGGGTTTCTCTGTATTGTTTTGGAGCCTATCCTGGAACTCGCTCAGTAGACCGGTCTGGCTTCCAACTCACAGAGATCCACCTGCTTCTGCCTCCCAAATGCTGGGATTAAATGTGTGCCCATACCACTTACAGCTTACAATTGATAGTTGTTCTGGGTTTATGGGACACACTTGTAGACTGTCATGAAGTTTTCTGTGGGTTGATCAGGCAGTCTTGCAATTGGCAAACCAGGTAGATAGATGGATGGATGGATGGATAGATAGATAGATAGATAGATAGATAGATAGATAGATAGATAATGTTAGACCCCTCGAAAACTCAGGTATCCGGGGTCCCAGGCCACGACTTCGGTCACCCCAATCACCAGGCAGATTCAAGAGCTTGATGCAAACTGCATGATGCTTTATTGTAATTTAACAAGCTAACCCCATGTTAGCTCGGGCCTTTCCCCCCCCCGCCATGGCGGATGGCTAGCAAAAGACAGCTCAAACCCAATGTGTACCGATCTTTTAGGGCAACGTAAGGGGAGTGTCTAGGGGTACACACAGTCTCATGATTGGTGTGCCTCCAGGCTTGGAGGGCTTGCCCTGCCCATAGGCCTTCCCAGGGTGGTTGCTATGCTTTGTGCGTCATTGCTGTGCGCTTGTCCGTAAAGCACACCCAGGGTCGTAAAACATAGCGCCACCAGCTAACTTCTGATTGGTTCCTTGTCACGAGGCAGGCATCTGACTTTCTAGTGTCTAGGACAAGGTCAGACAAGCACGTGTTTGGCCGTTATGGCTGCCAAAAGGGAAGCTGGTCCCTTTAATAGATAGATATGATAAATAGAATAAAGAGGGATGATGGGCAAGCATTAGGTTGCCCAGATTAGGAATACAAGAGCAAGGGACAAGAGAGGTCAGAGGCTGTTCATTGGCAGAGCCTCTTAATTTAAAAGTAAGACCAGAATGACTAAATCCAGTGTCTACCCATAAAGTTTGTCATGCCTTGGGTCAGTATAGCAGGAGTTCCAGAAGAACTCTGCAGCCAGTTTGATTCCAGAGTGTTCACACCTGGGCTTTGATCTGCCTTTGGGGACTGCTAACTTTTGTGTTTCTTCTGTTTTTTTTTTTTTTTTTTTTTTTTTTTTTGGTTTTCGAGACAGGGTTTTCTCTGTGGCTTTGGAGGCCGTCCTGGAACTAGCTCTTATAGACCAGACCAGGCTGGTCTCAAACTCACAGAGATCCGCCTGCCTCTGTCTCCTGAGTGCTGGGATTAAAGGCGTGCACCACCACCGCCTGCCCAGGTAGGTAAATCTTATCTGAGAGCTTCCTGAGATAATCAAAGTCTATGCAAAACTTGGTTGCACAAGAACTCTAAGATGCCGGGCGTTTGGTGGCACACGCCTTTAATCTCACCACTCCGGAGGCAAAAGCAGGTAGACATCTGTTAGATTGTGGCCATCCTGGTCTACAGATCAAGTTCCAAAACAATACAGAGAAACCCTGTCTCAAAACAAACAAACAAACAAAAAACAAAGGAAAAAAAAAACTCTGAAGACAAGGAGAACCTCTGTGTGTGTGTGGGGGGGAGCTTTGGAATTGACCTCTGGAGCTTCAGATAAGAGGTTTTGGTATTCAGGAATTGTCTTGCTAAGGCGTAAATTGTATAACAATAAAAAGACCTTTAGCCTAGCTACAGTCCAATCTGTCAGTTCCCCAGAAGCAGCTTAAATAACCATCCTCTATTGACCCCATTTCTTCCATAGACCCTGGTGAGTAGAACACCAAACACAACAGGTGAGAAACCTTAATGTTTTCACATTATTATTTCTGTGCACAGCTGCCCCTTACATAAATATCATCACTGAAACTGACTTGCTATTTCTACTGAAAGACCCCCAGACCCCTAAGAGCCTCAGGATCCCGAGGAGCCCCCGAGAACCAGAAACCAGACCTAGAGCTGCAAAAGCAAGAGGGTTTATTGAACGAATGCACATTCAGTGTCAGCAATATCGGGAAAGCTGCACACCCCAGCATGGGGTGCAAGCTCCTTATATAGGAAAAAACCGCAGATCAGCACACAGGCAAGGGGCACAAAGTGATTGATTACAAAGTATGATCTCATGTTAGAGTGGTCACCCAGGTGTGACCTGCTTTTCTACAAAGGAAAAACCCACAGAACGTACCCTGGAAAGTCCTTGATTGCCTGTTGGCCAGGCAGGTGTGACCCAAAGAGGGTTGTCTTGGCGATTGCCCCCCTCCCCGTCTAAACCATAGGATGTGCCCGGGGTTGGGACCAACTTCCTTGTAATGGGCCAAGGCCTATGGGAAACTTTTTCTCTCTGTGAATTAAAATCTGTCAAAAGTTTTTTTCTCAGCAAACTAAAATCTTTCACTACCACCTGTGCTGTGCTTTAGCAAAGTGCATAGGAACACTTAATGCCACTGTTACGGTCTGAATGTGGATTGTCCCCAGTCACGTGTTTGAACTCTTGGTACCACGTGGGTGGCACTGTTTGGGGAGTTGATGGAACCTTCAGAAGGGGCAGTTTTCAGAATGGCTACCCTGACTGTAGAAATTCATTGAGATGTACAGACTTGGGGTCTGGTTAACTTGGGTGCATGTTGCTTACCTTGTCTTTAAGAGTTTTACTATAAAGTTTATTTAAGGAAAAGAAAGGCAGAGCCTTGTTGTAGAAAGGGTGCCACTGTGGTGGACTTTGGTGTTTTATGTTTGGCTCCACCCCTGTATGAAATAAAGCTCAGAGAAGGTGCAGAACATCATGGCCGGGAAAGCATGACAGCCGGAGCACAGGGCTCATCGGGAGTCAGAAGGCACAGTAAGACCAATCCATGAAAGCTCCAAGTTTTCCTCTAGTGATACACTCCTTCCAGCAAAGCCCCACACGCTAAAGGTTCCACGACCTCCACACACAGAACCACTAGATGGGGAACAACAGTTCAAACTCATGGACCCATGAGGACATTTCTAATGCAAACCAGAGAATATATGTGATTCCATTGTCCTCACAAACGAGCAACAGACAATCTCAATTTGGTTCACTCTACTTTCTTTTTAAAAAAATATTTACTTGTTAAATTTTTGTTAAAACAACAACAACAACGAAAAAAGAAAATAGAGTGAGGGGGGCTGGAGAGATGGTTCAGAGGTTAAGAGCACTGGCTGCTCTTCAGAGGTCCTGAGTTCAATTCCCAGCAGCCATATGGTGGCTCACAACCACCTGTAATGAGATCTGGTGGCCTCTTCTGGCCTGCAGTAATACATACAGAATACTGTATACATAATAAGTATTTTTTTTATTTTTTTGGTTTTTTTCGAGACAGGGTTTCTCTGTGGCTTTGGAGGCTGTCCTGCCACTCGCTCTGGAGACCAGGCTGGCCTTGAACTCACAGAGATCCGCCTGCCTCTGGCCTCCTGAATTCTGGGATTAAAGGTGGGCCCCAACCCCCGGGTTTTTTTTTTTTTTTCCACTTTACTTTCTTAAGTGCATCACAATCCTCTGTTTGGGATGTACGTATACAATTTTTAAAATCGTTTCTGCTGTTATATTCAGTACTAACGAATATAACATAACTTAAAGGAGAATGATTTACTTTCTTCATGGTTTCGAATTGCAGTCCAGTCACCAGTAGTTCTATCTCTCTTGGGCCTGAGGTAAGGCTAAAACACCGTGGTAGGAAATAAATAGAAAAAAAAAATTACAAAAAAAAGTGTCTCCTATCTCTCTCTCCTCTTCCTCCCTCCCTCCCCTCCTCCATGTGTGTCTGTGTGTGTTTACATGTTCACGTTTGTGACTGTCTGTTCACTTGCCCGTGCAGGCCACGGGGAAGCCAGAGGTTGCTGTGCTGTTGATGCATTTCTTCCCCTTTTTGGTTTTGTAGACAGAGACCAGGGCGGCCTTTGAGCTGCAGCTAAGACAGCAAGGCAGAGGGAGACGCAGGGGCGGGGCCAGAGGGGCGGGGGGAAGGAAACGGGAAGGGGGGGGGGGGG